GTTCTGGGACCTAGATGATACCTTGGATCTAGTAGGGAACTCTGCAGACTAACTTTGGTAATTCTTCAAGCTGCGTTTTACACTCTTTGAATCCAAAGCCGATCCCAAACAACCTGCACCTTGCTTGCCATTATGCTAACATGTACTGCATGGCATGCTCTTGGCACAAGCTCGAGGTTTAGGGGCATAGGATTTAGGGATGTTTCGGGAAGAAGCAACAAGTCATCTACCGAACACTAAAGTGACTGTACCTGCACTTACTTGATCCCTCCCAAGGTCTTACTACCAGATTAGAAGCAAAACTCGGACAATGGAGTTTAGGGAAGTAGGATTTCAGAAGTCTTTCAAAAGGACGAGATAAGTCCTCCATACTAGGGATCTAGAGTAAGTAATATGGCTTCCATATTATGGTACCCTACACTAAATCACCTATAACAAGAAACCAAAAAAAGCCTCTCCGATCTCCGCCCTGGCACTTGATCGGGGAATGCCGGCGATGACCGAGGTTGTGATCTCTGCCTCGTTCCCGTCGCCGTCGGGAGCCGGATTCTCCTGCGGGCCGCTACAGGAAGGAGGGGAGATCGAAAAAAACCGCCCTAAACCCTCATACCGCCGATATCTTAAGCCCCAAACCCTTAAACCCTAAACCTCGTAACCGGTCTGAAACCATGGCCCTAAACCCCATCAAAACCTTTCATCCCCCAACCCTAAACCTCGTAACCCCCAGCAAAACCTTGAACAAAATGAAATCCTAACCCAGACGCGCGGATGTCCGGCTCCAGCCTTCCACTGGAGCCCACGAGTAATATAGGGCCCTTAGAAATTAGAATAGGGTTTGGGGTACATTAAAGTATAAATATAATTAGGAACCCCCAAAATAGTATAGGCAATCATTACGGCCGAAGAGTACCTGTTGAAACCGGGGGCTCAATGCGATGCACTCAGCGACCCACAAAACGTGCGTCGCACAATGACGAAGCATTGTCTTAGTAGCGTAGTGGGTAAGAACATCACAAGATCGGTCGGAAGTCTAACTGGCAATGAAAACAGTTAGCATAAAACATATAAAACTGATGATAACAATGTTCATAATAACAAAACCAATAACAATGATACTTCTAATGGCGACAAGTTAAGAAATATTCATCGTCATCACCATCACCATCATGTTCATAATAATCCGAAAGCCCCGAGCCTCTTTCGCTGGCGCGGGATCCGGTTCCGGGCGCGGCGACCGGCGAGCCCTGGGGTCTCTGGCCGGGGTTTAGGGTTCAGAAGTCAGTGTTCAGGGTTTGTTCAGAGTTTAGCGGCTTGGGAAGGTTAAGGTTAGGTTTTAGGGGTTTAGGAAGTTTAGGTTTTTGTGTATTTTAAGGGTGCAGCGGGGGATTTTCAATATCAGTCTCTTCGGACTCTTTTGCTCTTCGGGCAGAGGCATGTTACAAAACCCTAGACCCTGAATCGCTAATTTGTCCTCTGAGCTTGGCTTTGAGCAGCTGGGATCTTTTGAAGCGTTGGGCATTGTCGTGGGGTATAGGGCCCGTAAAGCTTTAGGGCGAGGCGCCCCTGTGCTGTACGAACGCCCTCATTTCGACTCCATCATCTGTCAACGAAACGCAACCAAGCAACAATGGGAAATATGTTTTTAAATCTCTTAGCGGTGTAAGACAGTTGTGCAGGGAAACCTTCGGCACGGTGCCAGGATTTCAGAACAACTTCGTCCGCAAGAAACAGTCATAGTTCTACAGGTCTGTCTGTCCTTCGCAGTTGTGGCTGAACTCCGAACTCCGCAACCCCAGCATGTCAGTCCAACCGTTGCAGGATTGATGCGGCTACTCACACAGTTGAAGGGCTATGGTTACTTCGATATAAGTAACGGCCACATAAGCGGAGGATTCAGCGATGAGGTGCTGCCCATGCAATGCGAGGATGTCGAGTGCGATCCCTCTTCCAAAGCATCTCTTATCTCCTTGCCCTGCCTGAAGCCCGAAGAATGCAACGAAAAGATTTTGTTTCGAGCTGCGGCGGGCTGAGAGAACGTCGGCGTGGTGGACTAGGAGAACGCCGCCGCGGACTAGGCGAACGCCTTCGCCGTGGTGGTGTCGGGCTGCGCCGGCGCCTTATATGACTATGCCGAAAGCTTCGAAAACAGGGCTCCTGTATCATCGGCTGATGCACCAATTATAGAAGGCTGCAGAAGAACTGTTGGAAGTTTGTTGCCTAGCGTTTGCATAGCGCCCATTGACTTGTCAATCCACACCAGGTTGGCAGCAGTGCAGCCCTCGACGGTCACCGGCAATCCCCGCACAGGGACAGCAAAACTCACGGTACTGCAACACTAGTACCACTAGTAATCTAAACCTGTCGTGAAGTTCTTTTCCCACGGCATTCAGACAAGTCGGGCGGTTGAATCAACAGAGATACTTGGGAGTTGTTATCCATCTTTGTTTGCTCAAACAAAGAAGTACGCCACCGCCGAAGTGCATCGATAAATAGTGGTAGAAGTAGAAGTACCAGTAGTTTCGGTCCTCGTCGCATTAACCGAATAACCGGTCAGCATTCTCACGGCAGTAGGGTGCTGTAATGGGAGTATGAGCATCGTAGTCGTGGTCGCCGTAGTAGTAGTGGTATAGTAGTAGTAGTAGTCGTCGTCGTTAGTAGTAGTAGTAGTAGTAGTAGTAGCAGTAGTAGTTGTAGTAGTAGTAGTAGGAGTAGGATTAGTAGTAGTAGTAGTAGTAGTAGGAGTAGTAGTAGTAGTAGTAGTAGTAGTAGTAGTAGTAGTAGTAGTAGTAGTAGTAGTAGTAGTAGTAACCGCAGTAGCAGTAGCAGGAGCAGCAGTTAAGAGTAGTAGCAATAGCAGCAGGAGTTAGTAGTAATAGTAGTAGTCGTCGTCGTCATCGTGGTGGTTGTTGTTGCCTTGCTGTCGGAGAAGTAGTAGGGTAAGAGTAGGACTGAGTGCGAGTTGCAGAAGTGTTTGGACAGCTTGAGTCGCAGCAAGGATAGGAGACATAGGAGTCATCGACGCAGCAGCAAACAGTTCGCTAACAACAGACCCACATGCTCATCGTTCTTTTAAAGCAACTGCCAGTAGCAGTGGCATCATGTCATTTTCACTGCCATCGACCTTGACATAACCTTTCAAAAGCACGAGAATGATGACATATGTGAGAATAAGTGTGGAAGGCGGACGCTAGTACTGTTCGTAGTACCTACTACTTGAGTAGTGGGGAAAGAGTAGTTGTAGGAATTCTTCTGGGCCCTCGACCGTGGTGGACTTCGCCGTGGCGGTGGACTTCGCCTCGGCGGTGGACTTCGCCGTGGCGGCGTCCGTCGACGCCCTGATGGTGATGCTCTACAAGTGGCCGGGCTCGGGGTGAAGACACAAACAAGCAAGATGTGCCGTGACCTCGCAGTCGTTGACTGCATGGTGACTAGCATGCAACAGTAACACATCCAAAGGCTCGACTCATCCATCCTTGCATGCCATGTCCTACTCGTACCTTTTCCTACAGGTGCCTGAAGATGTCTCTACTGGAAAGCTCCATGACTTTGAGTGACATCTTACATCCTCACTCACTCCAGCCCTGGGCCTCTGCTGTTATACCGGCGTCCACTGCGGCTGCGCGAATCTCGGGCCATCGCGCTCAACGTGCGTCTGCCGCAAGTCGGGCCACTTAGCAGCGCTGCACTGCTCACCCGTGTTGAGATGAATTCGAGCGGTTATCCTCAAGTCCTCACATGCATGACTGGCATGAATCTGCCGCATATCTGTAGTTCAGGCTTCCGTCGGTAAACCGCAGATGTGCGGAAATCGTACAGTCGAGCTCGCTGACGTTGGCATGACTTCAGGACTGGCATCGGGCCTATTCAACCACACCAGAGTGCAGACTCTTGCAGTGCGTGGGCAAACCATTTGAGCCGTATCTCCAAGGGGTGTACGCGCGAGGCGGGGTCTTGCTCCAAGACAGATTGAGGAGGGTGCTTCGGGCAGCACAAGGCTCAAACAAAAGAAGGAAGATAAGCACACTCGTGCCGTCGCCTCGCTGATGCCAGTTCAGTATTACGGGCTCAATAAATGCAGAACCTCATGCAGAAGCTTGCGTGCAGCAAGCTGGTGCGATGTTTCTTCGACGGACACCCATCTTCGTTGCAGACAATCGAGATGAATCCGAGTCTGTCAGAATTCATTCGCCCTGGACATCGTACTAGCGAACAAACAGTAAGTTGAGAGCACCGAGACCGATGGCGTGGGAATGAATCACAACTCGGAGCCATCTGCAATGCCGTGTACACTTTGCACGGCTTCAGAGGACCTTTGTACATGCCACGCGCTTCATCGGCGGCGGCAGGGAACGGACGTCGGGGGCTCGAGGATCCAATAGGAAACACCTTCCCTACGCCCCCGTCACGCATGTTTCGCGCCGCTCTGCAACTACGACCCCCTTTCTCTCCATCCCAGATCGTACACCCAAACCCGTACTGCCCCAACACACCCCAAAATCATAAACCCGAACTATCCAACATGTGCACCCAAACCCGACCTGCATTCCCTCAGCCCAAACCCACTCTAGAGATGTCAAACAAGCAATACCTACTACTTGATGTAAACAAGTATTGCCAGTCCTTAAACTATCATAAACCACGTTTACAGTAGGTGCTTTTCTAAAACCGAATATCGTATATATAAAGACCCTACACAAGTAATGGTTTTGGTAGAAATAGAATGTTCATGAATGAAGTCATCACCAGAAACCTCGATGTACTCTCAGCAAGCTTCCCCGATCAGCTAAGCGGCGGCTCGCTGGAAACCACTCAACCCCTAAAACCCCAAAGGGTCCTCTGATTCCAAAACCACCAAAATCCCAAAGAACGTTGTTTGATAAGTGTCCTGAACATGGTATTTGTTTGCCTGAGCAGTCTACCAAACTCAAGGGGTTTAGGGGCTCAGGGTTAAAACCCTAAAACCCCAAAGCCCTAAAACCTCAAAGCCCCTAACCCCGAGCTCAGGCCCGTCCAACCAGCGTTCGCAGCGTCGCTTCGCTTCCTCCAGTCGGTGCTACAGTATCTAGAAGCATAAGCCCTGTAAGCCCTAACCAGTTCGCATGAACCTGAAACCTTGCTCTTTGATTTTGCGTTCTTCTGCTGTTTAAGCTTCTGGCAACCCTGTATCCTCATTGCCATCCACACGGTTAAGCACTTTTCAGGGTTTAGCGTCTTTCGAATCTCAATCGGTATAGTTGCTGCATGCCCTCCATCAACTAACGGCATTTAGTGGGTGTTGGCATCGCCCGATAATGGATTCAGATTAGGCCTTGGCTTTAATGGATCTAGGATTTAGGCTTAGCTTTCGGGCGTTGGGTTTAGGTGCAAGGATGCGGATGTCGTGGGCAGTCTGCATACTCCCATACCCGAAACCTATATAGCAGAATGTAGGGATTCTCTCTCTCTCTCTCTCTCTCTCTCTCTCTCTCTCTCTCTCTCTATATACACACACACGCGAGGATTTTTTGCTATGATTTGGGGACATATCCCCCATAACAGTACGTAGGACCCTTTGGATATTCAAGCTTGCGCTGCACTGCTGGCCTCCCGGGAGGTCTTGGCCTAAATCCTGTCAGACCCTCGACCCAGGAAGCCTAAACCCTCAACCTCCACTAGAAGTAGCTTTACGACTCCTTTTCTATACTGAACTTAGAACCCTAGCAAAAATTATAATTTTAGCTGTTTCTTAGGGTTATAATAACCAAAAATTAAAAATTGTTTCGATTTGCCCCTAAGATTTGAAATTTTTATTGTTGTCCTTACTGCTTTTGTTTCTGTTGTCATTTTTACTTCTCATGCAACCTGAAAGCCTGCTAAACCCTTAATACTCTTACTGGTGGATGGTGGAGAGGTCCAGGTGCCGAAATCTTCATGCCGCGCCTCTTTCGTTGCTCAGGGCCTTTGCTTTCTTTTTCTTCTTGGGCTTCTCCGCTTCGCTGCTCAGGAAGCCTGCGGCTACTTGGAGGATCATGGGACTTAGTAACTATGGTTATAAGTCCCTTGATTGGGGTTATAAGTATGGTTACCGCAATAATAACCCTAGTTACTAAGTCCCGTGATCCTTTAAGTATATTCTAGTACCCTTATGGTATCCCTTATAGTAACCCCTTTAAAGGAACCCTAGGAACCGGGATTACGGCTTCGGGCTCCGGGTTGCAAGGTTAGCCTACAAAGTCCCAGAACCTCTCTCAGTCAGATGGTGTAGGGCCTTATTATGAGTAAGATACCCCTTGAAAGACGAGTTGGTTTGGGCTTCAGCGATTTTGGCAACCGCAAGCCAAAATAAGCACCGCAGGTCTCAAGGGGCTTGGGATTTGGGCGCTCTGCGGAGTCCCTATAACATTTCAAAGACAGCTCTTGGGGTATACAACATTTTGATAAAATTGCACACTAGGATCCTGAAGGGGGTTTTAAATCAACATCCCAAGAGGCTTCTGAGCCTGGTTTTAGTTCGTACCCCACTCCCCTTCCTCTTTGGTGATGGTCGGATGCCCTGCCCTCGTCGCTTTTTTGCGGAGTCACGACCCCGGAGACCTGTCGAAAAACTGCAAGGCCCTAACATCGAGCCAAAAAGACTTCCTCACTGACGGTTTCATGTTGCAGGCTGGAGCTCATCCCATCCTCGCCCCGTTGGCCCCGCCCGGGCTGCATCGAAATAATTCCGACGCCTATGTAAACTCGCTTTCGGGTAGCTCAGCATTTAGGAGTTCCTACTGCTCTTGCCAGAATATCTTCCAACAAAAGGTATCAAACTTAGCTCCCCAAGCCCTAACGCAGCACTGAATGTCCTAATGCACGCTTCTTAAGCCCGATATGCCAAGTAGAGGCGTCATCGCTGGAGCTTCTAGGACCCCTGAGCCTCAATGGGAAGAATGACAGCTCCAGAAGCCCCGGCCTTGAAGCAGCATGACCCTCTGTTTCGTAGAGTCATACGGTTGATGATATAAATCCTGCATTTCCCATAATAAGGAACATGCCATAATTCCCATAGTTAAGGGTGCTTAAGGTACTGCAGGATTTATATCATCAACCGTATTGTGTCTTACTTGCTACCAAGCGTGTATCTTGCTCCAAGCTCATGAACCCACAACATCATGGGCCTCTTGTTCCATCCCATCGCGGCCCGAACGCAACACTGGTAATCCTGGGTTTCTGGCTTTTGCTTGGGTTGAAGGGGCTTGCACGGGAGGATGTGGGGTTACCACGGTTTCGGCTTTAGGTATGGCGTCAGGGCGCATCCTTTTGGCAGTTGGTTTGGGCTCATCACCGGGACCAGCGGTACAGCTCTTGATGGACCGTGGAGCCATCGTCGAATCTGCATTGACCGGGTTCAAGTTGCAGTTTGGGTTGGAGGTCAGAGATTGTCTATGTACAAGTTCATGCGTCTCGGCGGTAAACCTGGAGGTGAAGGATGGAGCATCCCAGCATTCATCATGCCTGTTGCAACTTCTGAGGCCTGAGGCCTCAGATTAATCAGGAAGGGAACTAAACGGATCCTGATCCTCTCAAACTTGAACTCAACAACTTTGGGGGCTTTCCCTTAATGCCTAAGCCCAACATAATCGCAACCTCGATTGTTGAACGTGGTCAACTTGGTGCGAATGATGGCCCTAATGATAGCCTTTCGGTAGTCGAGTTTAGGCAAGGGCCTCTTCATGTCAGTTCGGCATGTGCCTGGATATAGCAAAGAGCTGGGCTCAGATCTACCTCGTGACATCTGTGCACCGTGAGGGCGCCCATCCCCAAAATCTGAATCAAGCCCCCCCAGCTTTCTGCCAGTAACCATGCCTGCTCTAAAGGCATCATCCCCAGAAAATCCCTGGAATGCTGCCCGAACAGTTGAACCCGATCACAGCTAATGAAGGTCAGCATCAGCGTAAGGGTGATGATGGCGCGGACTGGGAGCGAGAACTCCTGATGACGTGTTTTGGGTTTAGAGGTTTCGGCGCTCACACTCGGACAATCCAGGCGGAGCATACGGTTCGGAGCCTGTTGAGTGAGACAGATCTAGTGGGAGTGATTATCACGAGTATCAACCAGCAGTGGTTTTTCGGTTTGGGGTCTATACGGGTCGAGGGACTTCTCCAACAATCAATATTGCTTTTGTTGTCCCTCCCGGCTTTCGGGTGTCAGGCTTTATGGGTTTTGCGTCCGGGGTTTCAGGCTTCATAGGGATTTAGGGCTTTGAGTTTGCTGGTTCCAGTGTTAAAGATTCTGGAGCTCTGGGTCTGTGGCTTAAAGCGGCATCCCGCAGGATTGAACGGCCCTAAACAGAACAATCAAGTAAACCTGAAAGTTTCAGGTTTACTTGATTGTTCTGTTTAGGGCCATTCAATGCTGCGGGATGCCGCCTTAGTACTTTAGAATGCCAGTGGGGATCGATGACCAGGTTTTGCCATCAGCAGTGTTATCATACTGGCATTACGACGCCCCATACCTCAAACCCTTAGATGATGAGCCGATGATTCAATGACGGCCGATGCGGTTTAAGGTTTGGGCTTTAGGGTTTGGGCTTTTAGGGTATAGCTTTCAGTGTGAGTCTTTGGTACAGGGCCAGACTATCATCAATAGCAGCGATGCGTGCACAAAGGAGGGAGCTTGCAGTATCAAGGTTTCAATGCTAAGACATAGCTGATAGGTTCCCCGGTCCCAATTAAAGGTTAAGGTTTTCGTCGTAAGACCATAGAGAAATAAAACATGTTATACAATGCCAAAATGTGCTCAGCTCCTAAGAAGGTGTGGAGCACCCTGAACCTTAAACCCTAAAACATCCCTTTTTGCTGAACCCTACAGCAGGTCTTCAGTTGTCTACATATCTGCGAATTTGACGTAAGGCTTCTTAGGTGCATCTAACCCGCCTTCCACAACCAAACGCCCGTCATTAGGTTCAGCATGGCCATGCTATAAACCTGGTGCGGGAGCTGGGAGCCACCACTCTGGGTGATTGTTGTGGGTTGGTGCTCGATAGGGGTTATGCGGCCTAGGAAACACCGGCATTGTAGGATTGGCGGCATTCAGACATGGCGTAGGTGCTCACAAGCGGACAATCCAGGCAGTTTTTTAAGCTTGTTGTCTTCAAGGGTGTCGTTTTGATTTGCTGGTGCTAAGTTCCCCTTTCTGAGAAGGGCGGATTAGTTGCCGCCGAAGACTTTTCCTGCAAGATCTGCTTGCTTCGGCATAAGGCGTAGGGTTTTTGGAAGGTCTTTTGATCACACAGAGTGACGATGAGGATACTTGACTGTCATCACCTTGAAAAAAAACCATCAGCCCAGCCCTTGCCGACAAAACCCCTAAACAAGCTTCCCTAAACCCTAACCGGCCCTAAACCAGGACGAAGCGCGCAGGCTGCCGTTGCTTCTGGCAGATTGCCGCTCTCGGAGAGATTTGCTTTTCGAACTCTGAAGCTGTTGCTGGACATGCCGACCGATCTTGCCGACATGTTTGCACGTCGGACATCCGAAATTAACTACATCTTCGAAGAACTTACAGAGAAACACAGACTACATGCTCCGTCCTACTGCTGCTGCGTGCCCGACACCATGATTGCGGAGTGCAAGCGTTTGGCTGCTGGCACATGAGTGAAGCCGCTTGATGGTGCATCCTCCGGGCCGACAATACAAACTCCGAAAAAAATCAAGCCACAAGAGATGGATCCCACGCGACAGGAAGCAAAGGCCCCACATCAAATCTTGAGGATCGCGATAGAGTGACTAGGAAATGACTTCGTCACCATGAACTCATGAACCAAGAAACAAGGTTGCCGACGGCTTCGTGGATTGACCACTGGCCATCGTTGTCGTCATTGTCGTCAACAAGAATTCCTGGGATCATGGAGCTCCTTTTGGAATCTTGATCTCCGCAAGATGCAGGCCATGTCACTACGATTGACACTACTAGCTAGTGATAGCATTCATCTTGTTCTTCTTTCTCGCATCTCGTTAACTTTCCTCAGCACCAACATAACCAGACAGTAGTCGTGATCGGCCGCAGTAGTAGCAGCACCAGCACAAGCCCTACCCCTAAAGCCCCAGCACCCACCGTCGTAGCAGCAGCAGCAGTTGTGGCTGCTGCGGTGATAGCAGCATAGCACAATTGATAGCAGTGTCAGCGGTAGTGGTGATCCCTGAAATTGGTAGTGGGCCCTCCGTGTCACTTTAAGACGAAGATCATTGAGGCAAACCCCAAAACACTTCTCCTCCGAGCTGCTGTACTTGAGGATGCCGATGAACACCTGAATTGCCAGACCGCCCAAACACGCGTAGCCTGGCCACACGAGATTCTAAGTGGAAGGGGGTGGCTAATCTATAATCTCTCTCTCTCTCTCTCTCTCTCCGCCATGCGCTCTTAGCCGAGCTGAGCTCGCAGCCCGATCCCTACTTAAAGGGAACTCCCATTTCATGCGAGGTTGCTTGGGGCTCTGGTTTCAGGGTTTACGAAACTGGGGCCTTTCGCGCTTTGGGTTTTTCTGTTTGCAGGTTCCACAAACGGAACATACGTAGCTTCTTGGAAGCAATTCTGTAGCAAATCGGAAAAGAAGTATGAGCAGCAGGATACGGTGCACGAGAGGCGCAGGGACCTGAGCAAGTGTGCCTAAACCCTAAACCCCGAAAAAAGACATCATGCCGGGATCTCGAAAGATTACGACTTCAGGAAAACCAAGTTAGGGTGGCGGTTGCGAAGGGCTTTTGACGGGTTTTGAGCCTAGGGCTGACAGATGCAACATCAGGGATCTTCTCTACGCGGCGGTTGCGGCTTCATGAATGCATCTGGTGAGGCTCTACAGGACCTTGAAGAATAAGCCCCTTCCAACCAGAAGCGCGAAATCCTGAACCCCGGAACCCTGGGCCGAAATCTTGCGATGCCTATGTAGATGTGAGCCAGGCGCAGCCACACTAAGCCGTCGGAGAAACCTCGCGCTACTGGGGTTTCGGATTTTGGGGTTTGCGGGTTTAGGGTGTTAAGGATTTCGGATCTAGGGGTTTCGGGCTTCAGAGCAAGCAGCAATGGGTTTACGGCTCTCTGCAGCTTCAGATGTCCTGGACATGTAGCCTTGAAAGCAAAAGGCCCAAACATCCACGTCCGTACATCCTGACTACGTGAGCCGAGCCTGCAACAAACAACGGAACTTCCGAATCCTCGTCTTTTGAATCAACTCTTCCGTGCTCAAATACTATATTCTACTACGTCGTAATTTTTATGTTCTGCCGTATTAAATTGTATTACATTATACTGCATATTGCCCGGACCTGGGAGCAAAATTGCATCCAAAGAGCTCGAGACAGCGAAGAGTGCCTCCCCAGCATCCGTGTGGGCCTTCTACGCCAGCAAGATATTGCAGGGGGCCCGCACACCATGAATAATCACGGTTTAGCGTTTAGGGTTTAGTGTTCTTGAATGTAAAAATAAACCCTAAGGCCCCATAGTAGTTCCTTTTTGGGATTACCTTATAGGATTCGATATATGAACCTCAAAAAGGAACTCTACTATGGGGCCTCTGGGCACTTTAAGCGCTGGAAGCCCTGGGTCCTATAAGCCCCTTATATGCCCTAAAACCCTAGACCCTTACAGGGAACTCCAGAAAGTTGGAATATGGTTTCATGGTAGGATACCCTATGATTTACCATAGAAGGGTTACTGTAGGATAATCATATTCCAACTTTCTGGCTTTTACCTTAACCCTAAACCCTTAAACCGGATCCTGAAACCCAAGCCCGGCCCTTAATTAAAAAAAGCAAAGGATGTCCCCATGACCCTGGTAAGCCCCTTGTATAAGGAAGTCATAATAAGGAATCCTAAAAAGGTAGGTTATTTCCGGCTTAAGGTAGACCGCATGCAGATCTCGAGTCGGCTTCGTTAAGTTATGCAGGCAGCTGAGAGTTTATTAGGGACCCAAAAAGCGCATAAGCATAAGCATTTTATAGGGATATCTTAATTATTGGGCTTCATTATAAAGGGATTTAGATGGGATATCCCTATCCTAATTTTTGCTTATGTGCCTTTTTGGGGCCCTAGTTTAAGGTTTAAGCATGGCGTACAAGCGCCCCAGAGTCTGCGATCATCGACATGACTACGCGACGAAAGCTGCGATCTTTCTTGAGCCCACACCTGACCAAACCACTAGATCCGAAGTTTGAAGTATAGCAACCAGTGCTCAGTGGGAGGGACCAGTACCTGAAGTTCAATCGCCTCGGCAATCTGACAGGTCAGTTGCCAAAGACATCCACAAGTAAAATGCAGGATCCTTCTTGAAAGGCAATCGACTCGGTTTAGGGGTTTAGAGCTACTGGCCTCCCTGCGCACGGGCTAGAAGACTTGCACCCGAACTGAGCCGAACCCCCGAATCATGAACCTGAAAAGAAACACTACCGACCCTGAAACCCCAAACCACTCATACACTCACAGCCCGAACTCTGAAAGCACCCCGGGGGCCTGATAGTTTACAATGTAGCCGGCCAACGCCTTGCGAAGCAGGGGCATAAAAAATATCTGGGCTGTAGGGTGTTTGTGCTCTCGCAACTCGGACTCCGCCAAACGAGGTCTCTCGGTTCGGGAGTGCCGCTACACCACGGATTTCTACGGTTTCGGGTAGGTATGTTTAGGGCACAAGGCATTGGGGTTTTAATTTCACACTCGGGGTGCGGAATATGTCCTGTCCTCTGCGAGTTAGGGGTTACCATGGTCTGGTTGTGTGAACAGAAGGAAGGAATGAAGGGAGAAGCCGGATCCGTGAAGCCCACAACGGGGGCCTTACTAATTCCAACACGGCTGTGAGGTATCATACTATACCTAGTGTAGTAGTAGTAGTACGTAATCCTTAGGAAGAAAAGATGGGTTCTGTAAGCCTGTAGTGGGACTTTGCTGTCGTACTGCCGGGTAGTTATTGAATTTGGCGTGCATTACACTATTTAAGTCTTTAGTATAGGCCTTCGTTTATGAGTCTCAGAACGGCTAAACAGCGAAGCTGCATTCTGATTAGCCACACTTATACCTACAGCAAAGTCTTTATCCCGCAACCCGCAGTTGCAGACGGGAGGCTTTACCAAAACATGCAAGTTTACCTGGGATGTACCTGGTTCCCTTCCCGGAATACCTTTCTATTTCCTCACCGTTGAGGTCGGGAGTCACGTTCACCCGTCAACGCTTGCTGCATCCCGGTGGCCAAGGACGCACCGGTAGCCTGACCTCGGAAGTTCTTGTAAAAAGGGGTCCAGAGTCAAGGTTGGGACCTTCACCAACTCGGACATCAATTTAAGCTGTTTACGTTCTGGGCTCCCTACTTCAAGAACTAGGCTAGCAACAGTCTTTTTCATCACGCCCTTGAGGAAATGTGAGCGAATGCCTCGAACATATAAGGAAGCCCGCTCCCCTCTTCCTGCAGTCAACCCCATTCACAGGAATGCTGCAAAGTAACATGCAACTTCACATGCTCCGCGCCGATATTCTTCGACACACTCACACGTTTCACACACCCTACAAATCCCCAGACTCATCCCGAAGCAAACAAGATAAACTTCAAACTCTACACCATGAAGCCCTGAATCTGCAGCACCCTCCACCCAATCCATAAACCTACCTTTGGTTAGTAGGGAATGGAGGAATGGGGTACAATTATAGCTACTATTACTACCATTCTTCCATTCCCTACTAACCAAATGTAAGTTATGGGACCCATATAGGGGCCTTAATCATCCCATAAGTTATGGGATGATTAAGGCCCCTATATTATAGTACCCTTATAGATCCCTTACAGTAACCCTTATAGACCCCCTTTATAAGGCCCTGAAAACTCTCGGCCTTTTGGGCCAGGAGGCAGAAGGCATGAATCTTCCTTCTCGACTCACGGGTGTCGATCCACTCTCCCGGCAAATCCTCGCGCAGTGTTTAGGGCCTAGGGCCTGCAGCTCAGTTCAATAAACCCATTAGGATGGAGGAATATCGGACGTCGATTTGGGATTTGTGCATTGCAGTGTCCTTGTCAAATCTTCCCCGCTGTACCTGTATATACCCTTTGCATCGGGCTGCCCCTTACTGAGCTGTTCACGCTCTCAGGTATACCCTAACTGCCGAAGCCCAAAAATGGCCCGCTTTTGGGCCACTCCTCGTAGTTGTACATCCAGAACCCCAGGCTGATCATCAACGCAAACGCCAGGCCTGCTCACACCAGCTTCAAGTGGGGCTCGGTGCTCGCAGGGTTGAGGACGGTCTTGGTTGGGGGTCGTGCGTGCTAACCTTGACTGGGACCGCTGCTCAAAACTGCAGAAGCCCGAACAACCAGGCTTTCAATCCGGATTTGGAGGTTTCGGTGCACAAAGCTTCAGACTTAGTCTGCCGACGAGTGACCCCATGCTGAACGATTTGCTTCTCTGGACATAAGAGTGTAGAGAGAACGGAAATGCTACATCTGCTAGCAACGCTAGTGTGGCAGTACTGGTCTCCAGGCTTTGCCTGTCCATCCTCCAGTTTGGCGCAAGCATGTAGGCATCTGCGTATGCACTTGAATTTCCATGGGCATACGATCGAGCGTACGGGTGTGCGTATGTTGTGTAAACACGGGAGTTCACGCGAAGACACCGCAACAAGGAAGTGACTGCCTGCTGAGAACAGAACATGACCAGAAGGAGACAGATGTGACCAGACTACGATTGCATGCGCTCAACTTCCGTCAATGTGCCTCACACACATGCGGACATACATACATGCATACAGACAGGCAGACAGACAGCCAAACAGAACTACATACGTACAGGCACATTGACATACACCTGCAAGGTATACACACATGCAGATGTACACATGTGTTCATGAAAACAGACCCAACCGGCACCTACACGAAAAGCATGATACGGAATTACCCAGAGGCTCCATAGTAGTTCCTTTTTGGGCTTCATATATAGAATCCTATAAGGTAATCCCAAAAAGGAACTACTATGGAGCCTCTGGGTAAGCATAACACTGACATGAGACGACGAGGCGACTGAGCGCAGAACGTCACGGGAGCCCAAAACCCCGGGGTTCAAAGCCGGGCCTGAGCCTTAACGGCTTAGGAACGGCTTAGGGCTTAGGCTTTAGGGTTTAGGGCTTGGGGTTTAGGGTTTAGGGCTTAGGGCTTCGGGTTTAGGGTTTCGGGCTTAGGGTTTAGGGCTTAGGGTTTAGGGCTTAGGGTAAAACCCCTTCTAGGCTCCTTCTATGGGGTTCTTCTTTGAGGGATTTAATTTACGTTACCAAAATAAGGAGACCATATTATTTACTGCAGATCCCTACTGTGGTACCTTAAACTAAATTCTCTAAGATATAGAAAACTTAGAGACCCTGAAAATCCTAAAACGCTTGAAAGCCCCTTACAACTACCCTTATGGAACCCTTAAAGAGCCCCTTTCAGTGCTTACCTTACCTTTGGTTAGTAGGGAATGGAGGAATGGGGTACAATTATAACTACTTTTACTACCATTCTTCCATTGCTAACCAAAGGTAAGTTACAGCGCGCAGAGCCCTAAGCCAGGGCCCGGGCCCATCAAAAAGGGGTGAAGCCGGATCTCGCCGCCGGGCATCTCACCGGGCCTCTTGAGGCTCAAGGCTCAAGATGTTATAGTGAAGGCTTTATAGCCAATACTGTAGGATTTATTTGTTTTAGGAGGATTTAGAGTTTTAGGGCTGATTTAGGGGTTTAGGGTTGATTTAGGGGTTTAGGGTTCTTGCCTGGTTCAAGGACCTCCGGGATGGTTGTCGGGCTTAGAGCGTGTTGGGTTGTTGGGTTTAGGGTTTAGGGTTAGGGTTTAGGGTTTAGGGTTTAGGGATGTTTAGGGTTTAGGTTTAGGGTTTAGGGTTTAGGGTTCAGGATGGTTCAGGAACGGTCTGCAAGCGAATCTAACAACACTAACCGTTTCCGACAAAGAGTGCACTTTTGAGGCTTTGAGGTGAAAGGGTTACAGGACTTTAATGTTGGGCTCCAGCGTTCTCTTCTGGGTCGGTTGCTGGGCTCAGGGCTTCAGTTCAGGGTTTAGGGCTTTTGTCTGGGAGTCCGAACTTCAAGGGATGGTCGACCTGTGCTGCATGACTTACCTTTGGTTAGTAGGGAATGGAGGAATGGGGTGCAATTATAACTACCATTACTACCATTCTTCCATTCCCTACTAACCAAAGGTAAGATGAGGCCGCTGCAAATAGGGGACCCTAATATAATACCCCCCTTAAAAGCCCCAAATAAGGTACCCCTAATTTTCGGAAGCTACCAAACCCTAAACCCTTTATAGAACCCTTACAGATCCCTTTAAGGAACCCTTATGGATCTCCTTAAAGGAAACTGACTCCCATCTTGCAAGTTCGAGGTTCCCAGGCTCCGTAACCGACCCTGTGAAAACTGAGCAGCTTCACCCTTGCACCTCTTAGGCCTCTTAGGGTTTAGGGTTTGGGGCATCCAGCCTGCAAAGCATCTTCTGGGAAGTAAATGCTTGAAGTCTGCCATGCCACTCATACCCTTTCACTTCTGAAACCCGTATCCAACGGAGTCCTCAGCTTTTCCATAGGCGGAACTAGGCTTTCTGTTTTCGGACTTGTTACTGTATTATGGTTTGGGTAAGTCTCTCCCATATGGGAGTTTCCGAAAATGGGGGACCCAAATCTAGTACCCTAAATAGTAGGATCCTCATTATAAGGACCCCCAAAATAAGGTACCCCAAATATTCGGAAACTCCCATATAGGTATGCAGGACCCTCTGGGTGTAAAACCAGAATAAGCCCAAACACCAAACTGCCTCTTAGTTGTTGAATTTCCTAAGCCCCTAAAAGTATACACTTTCAGTTTTATAGTGGAGAATATTATCCCAAAACGTGTAAAGTGCATTCACTCAGCTACTAAGGCCTTGAGAGCGCACCATGGCCAATGAGGGCCGTACTGGCCCCCATGAAGAGAAAGTTCCTTGAACTTGAACGGAGGAGCTTGAATTTTGTCCTCTTTCTTTAGGGTTTAGGCTTAGGGTTTAGGGTTTTGTCCTCTCCTACACCTAGCAAGGACGAGGCCAGCATTGCAGGGCAACTTCAAGGCAACAGTTGACTACAGCTTCACGATTCGAAGCTAACTTCAGGATCGGCTTTTGCATGGCTTGAGGACCAGAATTTGAGGTGTAGGGTTTGGCACCATGTTTTTGGTATATAGGCGCTTTTACAGCATCTTAACTAGAAGCATGGTTTTATGATGGCTGCCCATGAGTTTGTGCGGGGATTCGGCTGCGGCTGACAGCAGGGACTCGAGCTATGGTGGCATGAGTTAGCTTAACGGTTTGAGCACTCGCAACTTGGACAAGTGGGGTAACTCAACACCAATACTTATCCCGATCCCTACATTACTTGTTGCTGAGTATGCCATCTCAGCTTGGCCCTTGGTATCCCTCCTACGGCTGCAAAAGTCCTGAGATGGGCAGCTAGCGTCTGCGATGAAACTCGCTGTCGGAGAGGGCCGCGGGCTACGAGGCTTAACCGCTGTTCCATCTCCTGGCTTCCACAGCCATATCCAAAGGCCCCAAAGTAGTTCCTTTTGGGGTTCGTATATAGAATCCTATAAGGTAATCCCAAAAAGGAACTACTTTGGGGCCTATATGGGTAATTTATCATGGGACCAAGGATGATAACGTGACTAATTATACGTGGATGTCACGCAAGTCGCAATCCCAACCTTAAGTCCCTAAGTCTCGTCCTGACCGGGGAAATTTGGCTGCCAAGCATCAAGCAGTCCTGCCAGGAAGGCGTTGACAGCTTCCGAAAGACGGGGTTTAGGGCTTAGGGTTCAGCCAGAAGAGAGGCCTGACGATTAAGATTTCAGGGATAACTTAGCCACCCTTATAATAAAAATAAGACGTACATTTCCTAAGAGCAGTAAAGGCTAGTTAGGGTTTAGATATCCTTACTACCCCAAGAAGCCACAGAAATAAAAGGTTAAACTTTCCGATTCCTACTAAACTACAAGAACCCAAAAAGTTTAAAGGTTGGGTATTGGGGATCTAAGTATCGGCGGTCACACCATCTCAAGGCAAGCGTGGGTTTAAGACTTGGGGCTGAGGATGCACAGTGTAGCGACCACTTGAGTCCCCTATCACTTCATGTAGGGGCCTTGATGGTTCGAATAGGGTTTCTGGGTATATACTATAAATAATAATGATCCCCCAAAACCCTATTCTATTATATAATCAAGGCCCCGGCAGTAGTCCCCTATCACTTACCCGGCCTTACCGGACAATGGCATGGCAGCGACGATTCTGCCCGCATCAGTGCAGACATGGCTCCGGCTGGCAAGTCGATGGAGACATCTTAGGGCTAGGATGGGCTAGGGTTGTGAGTCATGACGGTTTTGAGTGCCTTGAAATCACCCCCCAACTGCCCGAACTATGAAATAACCAAGGTCGGGGAGCAGTCTGAAGGATGAAGCTTGGCCTCTGCTGGGTGTCGAGTTTGCATGGTGTGCATGGAAGCATCTGGATATTGCAACTGCGTTGACTGCTGCATGCGTGTACCCAAAGAAAGCCTTGAAGTTTCCGAGTGAATGTGGGCAGACGGCATGCTTGGATACATGCCTTCTGGCCACTATATGATAAGGACCCAAAAAGGGACCATAATTTTGACAACCACCCATATTAGTAGACCAAGGCATCAATCTCAGCAATGTTGCCTGCTGCCCGCAAAGCCCTCGACAACGACATTATGATCCAACACTCTGGCTGCGACGCCGAGCCTCTACGAAACAGTAGTAGTCGTAGTAGTAGTAGTAGTAGTAGTAGTAGTAGTAGTAGTAGTAGTAGTAGTAGTAGTAGTAGTAGTGGTCGTGGTGGTGGTGGTGGTGGTGGTGGTGGTAGTAGTTGTTGTTGTAGCCGCAGTAGAGGTAGCAGTAGTAGTAGGAGGAGGATAGGAGTAGGAGTCGTCGCAGTTTATGTCAACACCTGGCATACCCAGTACTGTATTGCAGCTCCGAGTAGTCGTAGTAGTAGGAGCAGCAGAATCATGGTCCCAGTTGTGCGTGTTGTGGTTCTTGTTGCGGCAGACAGTTCTGCACTGCTGCCACTTCCATCGCAGCTGAATGCTACTATGGCACCAGTATTAAGCCTCACTACTAGACCTTACTGCTTTGACCATGGTTAGCACCATTTCTTTCGTCCCGCGAAGCAGTTCAAGCAGATAAGCTCGACTTCAGCAGCTCGTACCTCTGTTCAGTCAGCTGGAAATCGCTCGGGCTTGTAATTTTCGTTCTGTTCATGATAAAAACCCAAGGTCCCTTTCCAAGGAGAGCGCACACTTTATGAATGGTAAAGCGGATGGCTGTGACGATCAATGCCCGGCTCACTCCAACAGAACAGGTTCAGGGGAGGAGCGGGCGGGAGACAAGCGCCATGGGCAATCTCAGAACGGTCTGGCAACAGAAAGCCAAACATCGAGCGAAGACGGTCGGTCAAAATATGCCAGAAGTCAATTAAAACAGCAATCTGAGCGCAGGCCAAAATGCTGTGGCCTTGCGGTTCAGGGCAGCAAGCCCGAAGAGTTTATAGGAATCAGGGTTTTACTGGGGTATTAAGGTCATGTTGCTGTCGTCTTGTCTTGCGGCTGTCATGGCCATTCTCGGGGTATGCGCCCGCATCTTCCAACACAAACATTAGAAAGCCACGCAGAACAGGTGCGGTCTAAGCTATAACCGATTCCTAGATCATGGCAGTGGTGCATCCTTTGTAATCGTCATGGTGTGCCTTGTTTCAAAGTTACATGCCTGTAGTTACATAAGTAGTGTGATGTGTGATGTCTGGCTGTTCCAATACTCACCATGTTACTGCTGCATCAACATTGCGAAGTATAACTAGTGCAGTTGCTAGGGTCTATATTATTCTACGGAACGTACGAACTTTGATTACTGCTACAACAGCTGCTGCGAATTGCTGCTATGGGCGGAGCACGTGCAGAACACCACCGCATGTTGCGGCCAGGCGCGAGCAATTGTAGCCGCGAAGCCTAAGTGCACAAAATGCCCGAAGCCTACACCTTGAGAAGTTATCATGGAATTTGTGTAGCTGATTATTCCGAGTTTGGCATCAAGCAATCACTGCGAAGGAATCGGCCATGTATCGCTGATGGTAATGCATGGAGGGCTCGGCATGCAACACTTCGACGGAATAGGTGGTCGCATACGACATATACAGGATGAAGTCACGCAGCCTATAAACTATGTCTAAATCCCTTGTCCACAAACATTAGGTTTAGGGTGTGGAGCCCACCCTCTACAGCGGAATAGAAGCTCAGAGCTCCGCAAGACAAGCTCCGATCGACTCTGTTTCAGTGCTTAGACGGCGCCCTAAACCCCAAGCCCGAGACTGAAACACCGCGGGAAGGTTGAGGTAGGGCCTGGAAAAAGGATTCTGAAAATTGAGCCACGGTGTTCTTCCTTACAAGACAACCACCGAGTGATTCCTAAAGCGACTTACCAAGTGTAGGTTAACCCTACGTACTCGCTACGTGCCGAGATCCTTTCAGAAGCGCTTAGTGTTCTTTGCCGAGACTCCATTGAAAAGAATCCGCCAGTCCTCTCGGATGGTGGTCCTCTTTTTGGCAACAGAATATTGAGCGCTGATTTCTTTTCGGCGGTAGCTTCAACAAGTTCGAGACGTACTGTGAAGGACTTATATATGCTCAAAGGACGATGACACCTTAACCGTCTTGATGCAGCTCCCAACTGGCTTTGCTACGATGGGCAGGCGTGACATGAACCGAAGCCGTGCCGAAGACAACTATCCCTGGCACACTACGGTGGATGATATAAATCCTGCATTACCCATAAAAAGGCATTTTCCATAATTTCCATAGTTTAGGGTCATTAAGGTAATGCAGGATTTATATCATCAACCGTACCACCCACACCTTGTAAACTGCCTGCCTCAGCCGCCTGGAGCTCCGGATGATGACAAAGCACATCTCATATGGGTGGTTGTCAAAATTATGGTCCTTTTTGGGGTCCCTAATATAGTATGGCACCTAATATTTAGGGTACCCAAAAAGGGACAATAATTTTGACAACCACCCATATACATCGACACCGTGACAAGTAGGAGGCCTCGCCCGAATCTAGACCCAAGTGGGAGCTTCCGAAAATTACAGGTAATTACCTTATTTTGGGGCCCTTACCATACTGTTTAGGGTACTGTATTAGGATCCCCTATTTTCGGAAACTCCCAAGTCCTAGTACGAGTAGAGCATACCCAAGCGAGCGGGCACCTGTAAGGTTGCCGCAACTTCCTGCTGCTATTCATCGCCAAGCTCCCGCTGAAAGCTGTAACGAAGAGGCCTTAATGCTTAGAATGTGGCTTCGCGGGAAAAATTACACTTTGGTCTGGTTATATTAAATTAAGGAACCCCAAGATCGTATTGATAGATATCTAGGCCCACAATACGTGAAAACGCACTCCTGAGGCAGTGGAGCAGTGACCTGTAGGTGCCCGGAGGATCTGTCGACCAGCGCCTCGAAATTCACACGAGATGGTGCTTGGATACAGCTGTCAGCTGAATGGGATCACGGCTATTGGGGTTTGGGGCTAAAGTACTTTTGATTCGGGCTTCTGTCGTTTGGGGTCTTGGCTGAGGTGTCCATGTGCCGCATTTCTTCGAGCCCTGTCCTGGGGAGGGTACACTTGGGGCTCTCGGCTTTCCATGCTTTGAGTGTGGTTTCTTTCTTGGTTTAGGGTCTCAGGTCAAAAGCCCAATGGGAGGCTTGAGGAGGTGTGTAAACTACCTGGCAAGCACGAGCCCGCACTGCAGGATAAAACTCCATCAGTTTGGGTTTGGGGTCAGGGGTTCAGGACCCCCGGGAGCAGCAACAAAATCCCAAATCCCAGGTCATAGACCAAGCCCGCAACGATCCCCTCATTCTCTGCCAGGGTTCGTCTTGATGACATCCATGGGATAGATGCACCCCCAGGCCGTCGCGCCTACACGGAGTATTTTGGCACATGGACCAAGTGGTTTGTCATCATGCGATGCAGGGGCCCGAATAATTGACCAGAGTATTCCCGTGGATTCTTACCTAAACTCATGTTGCCACATGCCCCCGACACCAGAATTAGTCTAGTGACCAATATCACTTTGCAAAACATATGTTACATGTTGTTATGTGTCCCCAAAACAAGATTTATTTATCAGGGCCCCTGTAATACTCGTGGCTCAGAGCAAGGAAGTCTGGTCTCTCTCTTCCGCAAAAGGTCGAGACAGGGAGGCTTTTGAAATTCGAGCTTCGCTGGGAGTGTGCAGATTCGGCGATGTGGTCATTGATTTCGGCTTGTTGAGACATGAGTCTACTTAAATCCCCAAACCCTACACCCCTAACACCACTCCCCTAATATGGGTTATAAGTGCCCTGATATGGGTTATAACCATAGTTGTCCTACTTATAACCCTACTTATAACTCTAGCTCTCCTTAGCATCAAAGGCGAGGCTTTGCCGCATACTCTCCGAGCCATTTTACCGCCGTTCTCGGGTGCTTGCCACATTTCCTCCCTAAGCCCCAAACCCTGAACCCTAGCCCCCATTTCCTGCCCCAACTCAGCAGACTACAACATCGTAATCTGGGTGAAAGCTGCACATGTAAGCGGCCCAGACTTGGATGCAAGCTACCGGCACCGTCAACATGGAAAATCCGGCTAGACGATCCTAAGGCAAAAGCCCGGCACAGTGGCACATACGAAGGCAACTGCAGGAAGACAGTCAAGTACGGACGCAAGTTTTCATCTAAGTGACGGTATGTTTCATGCATGGTTAAGCGCATAGGGTTTGCCCAAACCCTAAACTGGACGGGGATGTTTTACCCGACTCCTGACTGCCTGCACATCCGCCAGCGATGAAGCTGACGAAGTCAGACTTTCCCAAACTTCGGGTTATCGCTTCGTAGATGGTGAAGTACAGCCTGGAACGGACATCAGAGTTTAGGGTAAAGGCTGTCGTAGATGGTGAAGTGCAACTTAAGATGGACTTCGGTGGGTTTAGACCTTACCTCATCCTCTCTCACGGACCGGATAGACGTGCTGGGACGCTATAAAATTCTATAGCCAGCCGATAGAATCGAACACTCAAAAAAAACAGAGCTTAAGTTCAAGGCTTGTGTAGAACCTGTCATGCGATAAAACCCTTCGGTCCTGGAGTACTGCCCTTCGTCGGCACTTCAGGGGTCCAAACTGTACACCCCGAAAGCCCAACGCTCAAAACTGCAAGCCCAAAAC